AAATCTCATGGAGATGTTTCTTGCTCCCCCCTATCCCAATTTAATTAAGTCATATTCAAAATTAGTCTTATCCCATTTTAGTTTGTGGCACTGTATTTTGCATTTCTTCATCTTGCTTTTACATAATGCATTTAGCTATTAACAGTATAAGAAGAGTCCATCATTCTATAGGAAACAGCACACACATCAGGTCTTATAGTTATTATCATCAATTAAAGTTAAAGTCTGTTAAAGAAGATATTCCATAAAATTCTTACCTTCTGAAATATGAATGATTGCGCTCTAACTCTTCTGAAAGAAAGGTGTGCCATAAAGGAGTCCTTGCAACAGGAATTATAATAAAATATAGAACTAGACCTCATTAAAATCTAAAACTGAAACACATGGTTTTCCCTTATTGTATGTGTGCTACCTGAAAAGAATTTCAAAGTTGTTATATTTCATTCAAAGGGCTTTTGATCAGCAATTTCTACAAGCTTTCGTATTGGTTAGTGTGACTGTGTTTTCCATTACTGTTTTATCTCCACTTATATTATCTAGAAAGTAATACAACCATATTTAGGATGCCATAGAAAGTGAGGACTGTTACAGTGATGCTATCTACTAAATGTACAGGATGGAGAGAAACTAGCCATTCAGTGGTTAACAATTTCTTCCTTGCAGTGATCTGGTACTGTAACATGAAACAGTTTGGATATTGCTACTCAGGGCAGACAAACCACTGCAGAGCCACCACAGTCACACAGGTGACAAGCAGTGTCGCTCTGGGACCAAAGACAGCTTAGTGTTGCCTGTGGAGTGCATTGCTTGTGAACAGCACTGCTCTAGTGAGGCTTTCATTTTAGGGCTGAAGACAGCACCTCATCTCAGTATCAAGCTGTGCTGTGCTGCGCTGTGCTGTCTGAAGAACGTTCCTGAGTCTCTGGAGCTTGAATGCCTTGCACACAGACATATCCAAAGGAGATCATGGGTGGTTGCTATCTAGGAAAAGCAGCCAAGCCTTCTGGATTTAAAACTCTGCTACCATTATACAGTAAGTTGGCCGAGTATATGACAAGATCTATGTAAGAAAACTCTGCTGAAGTTCTGTTTCATATTTTCCCAGTTTCAGAATTTGTCTCTTGAATACTTTCCTATGTCAGTAGCTATGATAGAAAAGGATGGGCAAACACTGATTCTTTCCTGATGGCAAGCAAAAATGAGGTAAAGATGACAGTACTTGAAAACAAAACAAATAAAATATTTAATTCAGGTTATGTTTATATTTAGCAGTGAATCGTGTTTATCATGGGCTACCTGCAAATACTTATGGTGTTTCCCACTAGACATTGTTCCCAAACACAATCAGCTTGAATACTTTTGCCATGCCTCATGAGCAGAGATGCTTTTAAGCTTCTATAGGCTTGATCTCTGTATAAATAAGAGCAAACAAAACCAGTTATTTGTATCATTACAAATATCTGTCTGCTTGCATAATTTCTTCAATTGCACTTTCACTCTCATATAGTACAAAGTCAGGTTTTGAGATATAGGGATGTATAAGACCCTACCCACATATAGAACATAAAATTATCCTCGACAAAGTAACACGAACTTATTTGTGCAATATTCAGAATGTTCTTAAAGGCATTGATTTAAAACAACAAAAGAAAACTTTACAGCCTGATCCAATCCACATGTTTTTCAGAACAACTGCTATAGTCCTTGTGAGAGGTTTTATTTGAATTCAAAATTGCTCTTCTCCCTCAGATTATTGTTTTATACTTTCTGCTAAAGGATCACTAAGGAACATCTTTTACTGCTAGTTTGATGTGATAAGCAGAAGATGAAAGTTATTTTGGCCTAGATGTGCACCTATGCCTTAAAGACACAGTTTCTATCATTAGCATCTGAGTCATTATCAGTAATTACTCATTCCTCAACACAGGTCTGTTTTGCTACCTTATGGTATTCTTTTAACCCTGGTTATATCTAAAGCTTTATCTGTTTCTTTTCAGGTGGCCTTTTGTTATTGACAGATGTTACTTAAAACTTCTTTTCAGTCAGTTATTTGCCTTTCACAGGAACATTTATTTATTGCATGTTTAGTTTTTGTTCAGTAGGAAGGTTAGTATAAACTCTTTCAAGATAAGTCTTCCTCTGCAGTCAATAGAAGTAGACCTGACATTATTTGCATAGCATGTCACAACTATTGTCAAATCTGACTTCAGAACCATTACACATTCTTGCAGGCAAAAATGCTTGAATATCATCAGACATAACCTGCATTCATTTAAAGATACCATCAGGAACCTAGCTAGTGAAACTGTGTGTGCAGACAAACCTGGCTGTGGCAGGTGCTACTTGTTTTAGTCCTTTTGCCAATTTGGGAAAGTGCAGAATCAATAATACAACTTGAGATGTTACTATTCAGGTCCTCAGTGACACCTTGCTCTATAATTTATGTATCCCTGGTAGTTTGAAACAGTTTGAAACAGTTGTTCATCTGACACCTCTCTCCATATTTGCCCAAGCACTTTCCATCGGTTCTCGTTTAAAAAGAAAATCTAAATCTGATATTAGACTGCAAATAATAAGGTAATCTGCCAAAAACTCTGTAGTGAAAATAGGTATTCCCTGATTATCTGCCTAAACTAAAATAACTCTGCAGGTTAGACACTCACCTCAGTACTGAAGCAGCTTTAATGATAGAAGACATTCCTCTTACTCTACCTGCTCCCAAACACCAGGTCCTTTTGTCTGGAGGCAGAGTCTAAGCCTATACATCTCCATCTATCTCCATTCAGACTGTTTCTCTGTCTGTTAATGTTCTGAGAAATTACTTCAAAAAATTAGGGGAAAGAAAAAGAAAAGAGTTTTGCTTATTGACTGCAAAATGACAGAAGTATAACAGGTGAGGGTCCAGGACTGAGGAAAAACTAAAGTCTTGCAGCTGCAGAAACCTCAGTGCTGGGAAAATAGTGAATTGCTGGACTGCATAATGCACACAGAATTTTCCTTTAGACAACAGTGCGAGGGATCTGAAACAATATGTGGCTGGAGATTAAATGGTAATCATTGTTGTCAGGCAGTTTTGATCATTACCTGAGGAGCAACTGTCTTCCAAAGATGCTAATTCTGGGAGTTAGAGCAGTTTGTTCACTGAAGAGCAGAAGAATGATAACAACATGACCAACCCTCTAGGCAATTTTATAAAAGAATTCTTCCTTTTCTGCAATATCAGTAATACTTTTTCATACAGTTTATGTGTTCTATCTGTCTAGGTAGTGAAAGTATACTGTACTGCTGAGGGTTCTTATTTTTAGATAGTTTAAAGAGAAATCTCAAAATGGGGAAAAATTAATGTTCTTCTGTTAACCAACTGATATTTATGCTTTGATGAATCCTTCTCTCTTAGAGGAATTGATAAGTTGAAACAGTTTCTGAAATATAAACATATAAACATACCTTAAATGGTAAGTACAGATACTCATGCAGTAACGTATTTCAGATTTGGGGAGCACTGTACAAGTTTTTTGTATGCATGTCTTTTAGTTAGGTATGCCATCTTGTCTGGAAGGTGCCATACAACTGAGTTTATGACACCCCAGAGTAGACTGTTCTAATACATGCTTATATATACTTCAGCTTTATTTCCAGGCTGGATTTCTCTGTTATTTTCTGTAGCCATTGAGTTTTGTTAAGTCTTTCTTATAATGTTTTCTTCATGTGCAAAGAACTGTGTACTGTGATTGAGTCACATTTCAGCCTCTTAAACAAACAGAATAGTTAAACCTGATCAGCCTGACATCATAGGTTTGTTTTATATTCACTTAATAATTACAGGCTTCTCTTCTGCATTTTCTCAATGGTTACTTGTTTTCCTGGGGCCATTCCAGAAATTCATTCTAGCTTTTCTGACTTTTGCTAGTGTTGTGTACAGAGGCACAGCTTTTATTTGACACCTCTTTTCATAACACAGTAAAGAATTTCCTTTCTTATTTAGCAAGACTTTGTAGGAAGAGTTAACATTGAGGTAGCTAATTTAACAACGACCTGTAAGTCATTTGTGAGGGACTGTTTTTTGAGACATTCATTCTATAAAAACAGTTGAATTGTTAATTATTCACATATATTATGGTGTATTACATTGTAATGGGATATATCAATTTGGATCATGGCATTTGAACAGCACCAGTCCCTTCTCCTTCCTTTCTCATTTTCCAGGAGTCTCTTACAAAATTAGACATAAATGTATTAATATAATTTTTTAAAAATTTTTTTAATTACTGTGAAAAAGAGTATCACTGACAAAAGAAGTAGTAGCCAGTGGGCCCTCTAGTAATTTACTGACACCATTCTATTAGGAAACATCTATTTTGGAGCAGTCTTCAATCTGAATACTTATTGAAGAAAACCACAAAATTTAGACTAGTGTTACTTTCTAAAACATCCTGGAGGTGATTTTTTTGTGAAACTGGAAACATTCAAGGGCATAGCTTTAGGTTTACATCTCTTGAGCTTTACTAACAACCCTCATTTTATTGGTACCACTCCTCCTTTTAAAGAATGTTTCAAATAAACTTCTTTCAGAAAGTGCCTTTCAGTGTCCAAATAACCTTTGTTCATACTGAAAGCCAACTCCCTCTCCAGTATTTTATACATGCACAGCAAGGAAAGAGAAATATGGCTCCACGGTGTAGGATTGAAGCAGTACCAAGAGGCTACGATACATATTATACTGGAAATATCATCAAAGTTATAAATGCTGATTCAGTGATCAGAGCACGGTGGGTTTGTTCATATTTATAAAATGACAGAAGAAATCACAAAGGCCCATAGCAATTATTAACAGTGATGTGGTGAATTTATATGTCCTGAAAGTGGGTTAGACGCTGCTCTAATACCCAGAGAGTTGGTCAAGAAGGGAATTATGACTGAGTTACAACTCTTTGCCTGGTTCCACTTACTTCAAGCAGGAAGCAATCTATTTTGATCTTTATCTGTAGCTCTATGGGGACTTGATTGTGCAGGCTTGTTGTCAGTAGTAATGGAAAAGGAACAAAATGAGGCTTTTGCTTGGGTTTAATTTTTGCTTCAATTTAACCTAAACAAGTGATAAAAACAACAACTGAAAATCTTCCCCTTAGGACTATGTCGCAGATAAAGGATGGAACTTCTGTAAGAAAAGGTAAGAATGGACCGGGAGGAGACTTCCCAGAGAATAAACAATTCCTAATTCTTTCTATCATACTTAGGCCTGAGGCTTAAGTCTGGGGACCTGCTTCATTCAGGGCAACAGACTGAAACCCCATCTTTCTCCTTTCAGACTGATACTTCAAAGTCCAGGATGCGTCCTGTTCTGGGTAACCTCATTTTTTTTGTCTATATGGGTGTTTTGTATTCTGTATTGATGTTTTCTTTTGCAGGAAATATCAGATGAGAATTAAAATCACATGCAAGTAAAAGCCTCCTTTTACTTGTTGAAATAGAGAGAAAATATTCAACCTCAAAATAATCCATAACAAGAAAATCTTGTGTTCCATCCTGAACTAGCAGTGATACATGAGCTGAGGAAAAATGTTTTTATACTTTATTTAGGATCAGTATTAAAATAGGCTTTATTCTTACTAAGGTTACTCTTAATACATAGCAGCATAAATAATCTAATTCACTCTGTACAATGTGACTAATTTAATGATTCACTGAATACTAGAACACTTATTTACTTGCATTAACTCTTTTCCACTATCTTTGTCTAAGTCTTCTGTATGTCTGAGAGGGATTTATAACTTATGTGTAGAGTAAGTAATGAGGGGAATGAGGCCCTGTCCAAGTTTTCAGATACTCTCAGATCATAGCGATGCTGCACAATATAAACACAGAAGTGGAGAAGAAACTGACTCCACCAGAGTCCAACCACATTGCTATGGAAGAGGATTTGAGTACAGTGTGAAAAAGTCTGAGCATGATTGTGCATGTCTAGGGACAAAATAAACTTCAGAAAATGACAGCAATCTAGGCAATGACCTTCCAGCCTGCAGAATGGAGAAATCAGATCCTCTCCAAAGACAATTCCATAACCATTGCACTCAGCTCACATGACTATATATATGTGTCTATTTTTTAAGAAGAAAATATACAAACAAAACTTAATTCAGAACTAACTTTTGAATGTCATGTCCTTAATTAGCACTTCATCCTTTTGCTGCCATTTGATTATTTAATGAATTTGCATTGCATTGCTGTGAGTCACTGAGAAAGTCTAATGGTTCAGATGTTTCCTTTACCTGAGATGCCTGTTTGCTGGATGACATCAGTTTACATGACCCCCACTTTCACTGCCTTTACTCCAAGCAGCCTTCACAACTTCTGTCCTCTGTATTCTACTGCTGCCAGCATTAGTCAAGTGCCCCTTCTCTTTGTCCAAGAAAGGACCTTTTGCTCTCTTCCTCTCCACCTGCAATTCCTCCTTCAAAGAAATCAAAAAAATTAACACAAACCACATCCAGTGTCATACACCTTTGTGTGGAGTACACTGTGCAAAGGCTTTAAAAACATAAGGAGTCTATAGGAATGAATTAAACATCCTAAATCTTGTCTCTTCTGTGCGTTGACTCAGTCATTTGCATTCATGTCAGATCATGCTGTGGGCTTCCATAATTCCATTAATGATGCCCAGTAACTCTTGTTATGAAAGAACTGAATGTCTGAGGTATTGCTAAAGGTCAAGAGACCTTGAGAGACATTTTGCTTTGCATTTAGAATAATGTACAATGAAAAAAAATCTTCTTCTTGTTATTTTATAATTAGGATAGATATTGTGAAACTTGAATATTTGGCTACAGACCTAGTATCTATGGGTACAGTATTAAAAAGAAAATCGAGATGTTTTTGTTCCTGTCCCCACTTCTCCTTCCCATCTGTCTGACTCTTCTCTCCATTCAGCCCTGAGTGCTGGTTTTTCCTGTGTTGTGTTATTACAAGGCACTCACCCTATTTTCCTCAGCCGCCTACAGGCCCATAACAATGTTGTTTTCAGAAAAGGGAATTTATACAGGGTCACTTCAGTTGGAATATAAATAAATAAATAGATTCTAAAAATTTAATTAAAATCTTAACTAGCTGAAGCCCTGGCAAGCAGGCAGAGTGTAGTTAACATTCTCCATTAAATGTGAAGTACTTGACATAATGTGAACTGTTTGAGAACTACAGAATAGGCACATGTTTTATTCAGAAACCAATGAGAGTTTACTGCTGTGCCAAATGACTGTCATAAAGCTGGCATAAGATGTCCCCTGGGATATCCAAAAGAATTAAAACACCAGAACAGATATTTTAGATTTATTTCTATTTTCCCTGTTTGAACAAGTACTAGAGAATCCTGAAAAAGCAGAGACCTGCTAAGGGTAGAGCACTTCTTCCATGCTATCCTAAGATCAGAGCTTTCGGTTTACCATTATGATTTTCATATTTGAAATTCAACTTTCACTTACAATTTCAGTTCTCTTTCTAGAGGCTAGGCCTTGTTCTGTGTAAGTAACACAAAGCTTTCTATAGTGAAATGGTACAAAATGTAGAAAATCCAAGATTTGAACCAATCTGTCCAGTCTACTCATTCCACTTCTGTCCCCCCCTCCCCCGTTTATGCCCACCATTTCTTTCCAAGGAAACACAATGTTGCTTTCCAGATCTTCTGCTTAAGGAGAGTTTTACATTTTTCATTACTTCATGACCACAATCAAGGCTCTCAGTGTGTAAATTGAAGTGTACAGTCAGTGTGTAAATTAAAGTCACATTGAACAAACTCTGCTAGTGTGGAGGCCCAGGGAGGAAAATCTCTTGTGCTAATGTATTCAAACAAGAAAGAGGTGACTTTGCATCTGAAAACAGGCTACAGTTTTCTATATCCAGTGTGGTTTGCAGAGCAATCTAGGGAAAATAGACCACTGCTTAGCCATTGCCTCTCAGATTCATGCGGGGGATAATATGAACTGATCCTGGGAACTCCATGGCATTTATAACATCTCTTGTCTATGCTTTGCACTCAGTTGTGGTTTCAATGGAAAAAAGGAGTAAAATGTGGTGATATTTGTATTTTATACCCAATTCAAAGGATCTGCCTGGCATTTTTACTTTTCAGTCTGCAGGCAATCTTTGATGCACTGGACTTCTCCTTCAAGTTTCACCAGTACTTCTCTCTCCACAGACTCACTTTAAAACTCTTCATTCTGTGACACTATGATTCGTTCTTCAGGAAACTTACACTGACATTTAAGAGAGACTGTAAGAGTACAGATCTGCTAAACTGATTGAAGTATTTCTGCTGATAAGTTTCAAGTAAGAAAATCAGTCTTTCCACAATAACTGTAGTATCTTGTACAGTCTTATTGTGACATTTTTGACCGAGTTATTGCAAAAAACAGCTCTAAAATGACATTTTTTAACTAGAAAAAAAATCCCACGAGTATTAGCACATAAAGTGAAATATTTTCTTTTACAATTTCAGAAGACTTATGGTGGAGGGCAGAGGGAATTAATTTTTTTATGCCCAGTGAATAACCAAACAAGCAGCATACAGTAATCAATCACCTCTGTCTAGATGGACCCTTGAGGGGTAACAAGGGAAGACAGAGGTAGAAAGGCTGGGATATAGAAAGCCTTGTTCCAGTTGTTCTGTATTTTGCCACTCTAAAAATGGTTCAGGCACTCCTTTACAATGCAAATACTTGTGACCTCTATTTTGATAGCACTTGTGTAGAAAGGAAGGCAGATAGGGCACACCCAAATCTAAAATTCAGTTGGAGTTACTGTGAATTGTCTGCGTATTCTGTCTTCCCTTCTGTAGAAGGTTTTGTAGTATAGATTACAGTTGCTTAGAATTTGACAGTAATTACAAAACCCTTTACCCATGTTCTTCCTGAAAGTTCACTAAAACCTTTAGTTATTTGAAATGTTTTACAAGTTGTCATTGGTTGTGAGTAAATAAGTTTGTTTCCTGGCTGGATTATGTTTTGTAAACTGGAATACCTTCCGTATAATGGAAAAGCACACATATACAAAGTAAAACAATTGCAGAAAGAGCAGCAGAGAAGAAAGGAAAAAACCCACCTGTTTTCAAAATTATTTTTGCAAAGTGATATTTTTTGTTCATTTTCTTTGAAATGAAAGACAAATATTACAGAATATGACCCTTACGGAATTTTAAAATTAAATCAGAAATCAGCATCCTTTGCTTCAAATTAATATTCTTCATGATTTATTTTTAGTGACCAAAATTACATTCAGAACCTGACCTTCAGTCTGCTTATTCTCATATTTGCATTACAAAAGTGATATTCCAAAAACCATATTCAAGAATGAAACTTTCTTCTGGAATATGTCTTCTTGATTTAAATGCTTGAATTCCATGAATTAAGGATACAGGAGATGTATACTTATATCATTCAGCTACATACTAAATCAATCTGCAACAAATTAACATGAGTGTGAATGTTACACTGCACCACATAAAGGGAGATCATCCTGTTTTAAAGACTGATAAAAGCTGAATTCCTTTGAATGTGCTATATACCTAAAGATAGGAGTGGACATCTATTGAGATTTTTGAAAAGTTCATCTTCTGTTAAATTTCCATTAATAAAAACCCAGTAAGTCTAAAGCAAACGACATAGCTACAGGCTTTCCTGAGTTAAGCAACAGACACGTGGCCTGAGGCATTTTTTGTTCTCAAAAGTATTGAGACCCATCACACTCCATTGAGATCCACTTGAAATTCCACTTAAACATAATAAAACTTTTTTTACTATGAGCACTGGCACAAGGAATCTCCCTCCTTGGAGACATTAAAAGTCTGAGTGGACTCCAGCTGACCCTGGTCTGAGCAGGCAGGTTGAACTAGATGATCTCCAGAGGTCTGCTCCAAACTCAACTGTTCTATGATACTTGTCAGAAAAGGTCACCAAGGGGCTAGACTTAATCTTCTCTGAATAAGGTGAAAGCTATCCAAATGAGTCTGGCATTCAAATAACTGTCTGAAATGACTCTGTCTCAGCTGGTTTTAAGAGAGATGCCTCTGGTTGCTTTCACTTGTAATAGCTTGCCTCAAGTTCAGTGAACAAGCAATGGAAAATCTAGGAGTACTATTGCCCTGGTACAGAATTTCAAAAAGCATTTGCTAATAAAATAGGCACCTCTATTTGCTCTTTTTAGGCCAACCTCATTCACACTATCTGCTTTAGTAAATATAGAAACATTAACAGAAATAACTGCTGTACTGCTTAGATAATGATAATAAATTGACAATTGCAGTTGAAAGTTTAGAAGTTGAAATTTAACTCAATAAAACCACACAATATACATGCAT